GCGCTGGCTGAAAGGCGCTAGGCGGCCCCTTCCGCAGGCAGCGCGCTCGGACCGCGCGGCCAACTTTCACAGCTCGACAGATGGGAAGAGCGGCGGCCCGCCCCGATTCTTCCAGACGGTCCGCGCACGCAGTGACCCCCGCCCTCCCTCGGCCCCACGGAGGACTCTGGGCCGTGTCAGGGTCCCTCCTGCCCGCGTTCCCCACCCCCACCCCTCCGCGCGGGCCGCGCGGCCCACTGGGCCCTCAGCTCTTCTTCTCTCCCGGGTCTCCGGGGAGACTGGGTTGGGGGCCTCTTTGGGACGCCTTCCAGGCTGAGGGGGTGAAAAGGCGGCCGGGAGGCAGATCTCGGCTACTCTTTGTTCGGGCAAAGCGCGGGGCTCAGCCCTGGAAGGAAGGGTGGGGCGGGACAGCCAACGGGGCGAGGAAAGGCGCCCTGGACCCAAGCTTCTCCCTTCACAGAAAGCAAGCCATGGCGTCCCGCGGGGGTCCGGGAACCCTACCTCCGCCCGGATGTGCTGCCCAGGCCTGGGGCTGGGGTCCCGCCAAGGGCCGCAAGCCTGGGCCGCACCTGTTCCCCGAACCCCATCTCCAGGCTCCCCAGATCCCTCTGCGGGGACCGGGCCAAAGCTGAGGGGGTAGCTGGTCACCCCGCGGCTGAGCAGGACGCCAGAAGCAACGACGGTGGTGACAGTCACGCCGCCGTCTTCAGCTTCACAGCCACGCCGTGCGCGGGGCCGACGCGCTCCGTTCCGTCTCGTGACCAGGAGTCGCTTTAGTGAGTGCTACGTATTTCAGGCGATTTCGAGACTGGCCTTTTATTTTCGGTGAGCAAGCGGCATAAGTATAATGAAGTATCTGAGATTATTAATAAAAACATGAATGGCCGGTGCGAGGCTCGCGCAGCCCGGCTCACCAGCGTGCGCCCCGGAGCTCACGGCGCCGGCACCACGCGCGCGGGTCTCCCCAGCGCAGGGCGGCCCGGCATGCCGCCCGCGAGGTCGTGGGACCCGGCGCTCCGCCCGGCTCGCGGCCGCCCCTCTCCGCACCACCCCACCCCACCCCACCCGACCCGCCTCCCCTTCTTGGGGCCTGGAGGCCTCGCCCTCGGCCCTGATAGGACAGAGAAGCGGCAAGAGGGTCCCCACCCCGAGGCCGGGCCTGGGGCTGCAGCGCGTGCGTGTAGGCGGCGTCGGGGTGCGGGGGTGTTGGGGGAGGTCAGTTTCCCCGGAGACCTTGGTCGCCAGTTACTGTGAACCTTCCAGGGCTCGGCAGCTCGGCCAGGCGAGCGGCAGGCTTCGGTGGAGCCGGGACCTTCCCAGGGGCGCTTGGGGAGCTGCCCGGGCGGGCAGAGACCGAAGAGGTCGGATATTAAACCAGCGGGAGACAGAATAACTTTGAGCCGAGCCGGAGCGAGCAAACGCGGCCTCCCAGCCGGCCCTGCGCGACCGGCGAGCGTATTTGCATATATAGTGCCTGGTGTTTACTGTGCGCGCGCTATCCGCCTGGGCACACCTGTGCCAGGCGGTCCAGAAGCCCGCATCGATTTACCCTTTTCACTCGAGGGGAAAACAGAAAAGATGGAGCCTTCTTGGAGATCAGACTGGTGTCACCGCGGAGCCCCCCCCTTGTCGCCCCTAAAGAGAGCCCCTGGCCGTTCACTTTGGGCGACCTTCGGGTCTGTGTTGACCCTCGGATTCCGACTCCAGCCCAAGGGGCGCCCCCTGTTTATTCGACCCTATTCGGCAGCCAGTGGAGGAAGGCCCTCCAAGCGCCAAGGAACCACGCTGGGTCTCTCGCCCTGCATCTTTGCCGGCGTGCCTGGGATGGCCTCGACCGTCCTCCCGACCGGGGCTCCCGGAAGTCAGCCTAGTCTCTGCCCAGCTAAGGAGGGCTGTGGACACAGCTCTGCCTGGGCCCCAGGAGGGACACAGCCAGGCCTAGGGGTGACGGGCCCTTTCGGCTCAAAGGAGTCAGGACTTCATTTACAAATGTGCTTGCCTCTGAGGAACATTTAGGAAACCCACATCATGCTGGGGGTGGGGGCAGCCACCAATCTGGCAGGGGGCCAGCTGGGAACATCACCCATCTCAGTGCTGTAGGCCGGGTCCAGATCTGAGACACGCAGAGCCATGGAGGTGCAGGTGGAACACAGGGAAGCCAGACTTCAGAAAGGAGCACCACCACCTCCGCAGGCCTGACTCTGGTCTCCACTAGCCCCTAGGGATAGCAGCTGGGCACCCAAGTGGCTCTCCGTGAGTTATGATCTTGGATTGTAGCTGCTGCATTTTTAAAATGTAATAATTGTCAGAGCAAAACCAGAATCTCAGCATTTGGAAGGTCTAAGGGCTCATTCAGTCCAATCCCCTACCAGAGGGGGTAAGAAAAACACAAAAGAAAAACTCTTATGCCACTGTAGGCCTAGTGTCTGCTTGCATGCCTCTGAGGACGGGGAACTCATTATCTTGCAAAGCCATACATTACCCCTAAACAGTGCTATGATTTGCAAACAGATTAAAAAATAAAAACAAAAATGATTGCTTAATGTTGCTATGCTGTCTTTTTATTAAAAAGGGAGAGAGAGGCCAAGTGATTAACATAAGTTGTGCTAGTGCGTTTTCGTCTTTGGGAACCCTGGTAACTGTGGTGAGGGGTGGCTAAGGAAGACTCAGGGGATGGCCTGTGTGATCAGGTTTCATTAACGCTCCTGGAAACTGGCAGTTGGGGCTCCAGAGCCTCTGCCTTGAGGCCCCAGGATGTGTCTTTGCAAAACCCGGGAGGAGCCTAGCTTCTGCTGGGAGGCCCAACATCCTCCCACTCGGGAAGTTATTGTGGAACCGAAAACTGCCTAAAAGGTTGCCTTCAGAATAGATGATCCTCTCTAGTCTCTGAGTTTATTTTAGTGGGAGAAGAAAACTTTTTTTAAGCCAAGAAAGTTGGGAAATAGAGCAGTTGGGTGTGCAGGGCGCACATAGGCTGTCCTGCATAGCTACATGGGTTGTGGATCCTGAGCTTGAAAATCCCAAACATTTCCAGCGGAGGCATCCAGGCAGCTCCCGCAAATCTGGTCCTTTCCTCTCCATCTGCCTTGGGATGTTGTTCAGTCTTTTGCTTTGGGGGGTAACGACAACAAAACATGAGAGAGAAGAGCCTCTTTGTCTCAGGTCAAGTGGAAGTTCGTCTCCATGGGGTGGGGTCAGGCAGGGGAGAGGGTGGTGAAAGTCGCTGTCCCAGGCTCAGGAGCAGTGAGGGGGATGGACACCTGTTGTGTTCTGCAGGATTTTAAATATTAATTCAACGGAATAGCACCATACTTTGGAGCACTTCCTTCTGGTAAAGAAATGTGTGCTTGAGTTACTTTGGTTGTTCTGTGCTCACATATGAGATACCCAAAGTGTCTCCATCATTTAAAAAAAAAACTACTCCTCTGGATACAAAGGGCATGTGCATACCTGCTCTGGCTGAGGCAAAGGTGTGGGCACTGGAGTGCTGGGGCGATGCCCAGGGCAGTTCGGCTGGACTCAAACACACTTAGAAAAATTAGTCATTTCACCTTGGACATCCAATATTTTACAATAAAGCGGGGTTTTTTTATTATGTAACTTTCAAGAAGTTAAACACACAAAAATGCAGGGGTGGGGGGATGTTCACAATTTTGATAACCACAGTTGTAAACAGAAACATTCATTTCTCATAAGATTATAAATATCTGATACTGGAACTGTAAAATGCACATGTTTTGTAAACTAAAAAATAAAAACATAAAAATAAAAACCAAAAAGCTTTGCTTCCTGCTAAAAAGGCATGTCATCTCATTGAGTTTCCTAAGCAGCAGATGGTTATTCACAGAATTTTAAATTACAACTTTTGTTTTTATAGTTTTTTAAAAAGGTTTACACTAGTATGTACAAAGTGAAACTGCTATTGAAGTGAAATCGAGAGGTTTAAGGCAGAGAAAGAGAAGTCCACCCTCAGTCCTCGGGGGACAGCCACGGCTCCTGGCTCAGCCCCGGGCACAACCGCTGGGCTGTCCCGGTGCAGACAGACATTCGGACACAATTCTTTTTCCATACACTAAACAGAAGACAGCGTGGAGTCATAGATAGATAGATAGATAATGTGTTTGTTTATATATATGTACTTGGTGGGGGATATATTGAATATATTTAATTTACACTGTACCACACCTTCAAAAAATAAAATGTATATTTAAAAAAAAACAAGAAAAGACAAAAAGTGATAAGAAATGATTATTTACACACTTTCTTCCTTCCTCTAGATCCTGGAGAATTCTGAGTTCCTTCAAAAGTCAAGGTAGCCACATGTTCCAGAACTGTGGACTCATGCATCTGCTTGTGTGTATGTGTGTGAGAGCATATCTATACGATATACGCAGACACACATGCACACATATTTACCTTGAAAGAATGCAATCTATAGCAGAGGTTGTCACTTGAAAAAAAGAAAGAAAAAGAAAAGGAAGAAAAACAAAAAAGGAAGGGAAGGAAATGCCAGCTCCCTCTCGAGGCCTCTGCTGGTTGGAAGCTGTGTTTCTGGGGCCAGGCGGGCACCCACATGGCCAGTGGAGCAGCCAGGATGCTCTGGGCCCAGGCTGAGCCCACTTGCCCGGCCCCGGCCCCGGCCCCTTGGCCCAGAGCCCCGGAGGTGGGAGAGCTGACGCTGACGCAGGCAGACAGGGCACAGGGACAGGGGAGAGTGACACAGACACAGATGAAAGGACGTGGGGAGGCACAGGCCAGGCCTCAGCGAGGAGGAGGATATGGTGGGAGGAAGAGAGGAGGGGAGCGGCCGGCCGTGGGCCCCTAGCCCAAGGCAGGCCCTGGTGTCAGGGTGTCACTCCCCAGGCCAAGCCTCTGCACTCCCCCAAGGACCCCCGGCAGTCACCTCGCCCCACCAGGGCCCTTTCTCTGCTTCTGGTGAGGCTGGGAATGTGGGCCCTCCTACTGTCCTCACCAAGCCCACACAAACAAAGTGGCAGAACTCATAGGCCAAGTAGGAGCTATTAATTCGGTTCACAGTTGTGTGAAATGCAGCAATAAAAATCTTTGGACTTCAGCAAGTTGTTTTAATTTTTTTTTCTTTTGAAATTAAAAAAAGGTGTCCGATGTCCCATAATGGAGCTTAGGGGATTAAAAAAAAGATGAAACCCTAAGCAGCTCCCTTTGCAAAAAGAAAATCATAAAATTAGCATAATCTCATAAACACAAAAAAACTCAAAAATATTTTATAGTCAGATATTTGGGATTTTATACCTCCTGTAAATTATATATACATAGAATATTGCAGAACCATTGCTAATACACGAGATTTTTTACTATTAATGCTGGTATAATCTTTATACACTGGCCCTTTATTTATGATTTTAAATTATTGCATTGTTTAGCTCGCACCAAGACCGGGCCTGCGCCCGCCCCCCTACTCGCTGTCCGACTTGCCCTCCTTGGCGGCAGTGGAGTGGTTGTACAGGCCCTGAGCCATCAGGTGCACAGCCAGCGTGTTCTTGTTGCCTGTGGCCTTCTTGATCTTGGCGCGCTTGTTCTGGAACCAAATCTTGATCTGTGACTCATTGAGGCTGAGCTCCTGCGCCAGGCTCTGGCGCCGCTGCTCCGTCAGGTACCTGTTGGTCTGGAACTCGGCCTTGAGCCTCTGCAGCTGCTCCGCAGTGAAGGCTGTGCGAGGCCGCTTGTCCTCTTTGTTGGGGTTCTTCTTCTTTGGTTTGCGTGACCTGGGACCTAGGTGGGCACGGTGGACAGAGAGAACGCGGGTTAGGAGGGCTCCGGCCGACCTGCTTCCTCGGGTGCGTCACATCGCAGGCCAGGGAGAAGGCCGAGGCCAGGAGGGAAGAGGCTGCCCACGGCCAGCGGCTGACCTGGAGGAGAGTTGGGCTGGCCTTGAGACTGGGCAGGGCTCCCCGCTACCTCTGGGACCCTCCCCTGGGGAGTGAGGTGTTGGGCCCAGGAGGTGAGGGGCTGAGAGTAGGGTAAAGGGCAGGCTTAGTGAGAAAGTCTGCAAATAAAAGGAAAACCCCCACAGGAAAGTAAAAAGCCGAAACTTCGTGGCCAGGCTCTTTCTCGCCCTCTCTGAGGGTCTGTCCAGGACAGGACAGGGAAGGGGTAGGTGCTGGGAGAGAGGTGAGGGGGAAAGATTGGGGGAGGGGAGGGGCAGCCAGGGTAGCAGGAAGAGCCATGGCAGGATGTGAGGGACCCCCACAGGGGACACCCCACAGGTCCCAAGGGCTGTGGGAGCCAAGGTCAGGTGAATTCTGACAACAGGACAGGTCTGGAGGTCTGCCCCCCTCCACTAGCCCTGTGGACCCAAGTCCACTGTTTCCTTTAAGGACAGGAAGGAGCACACATGGCCTTTCCTGGGTGAGGAAGGAGCTCTGAGTTTCCCACCCCTTCCCCCACCAAGTCTCCTCAGTCCCCTGTCCAGGAGAGGGGACACAGTGCCTGCCTGGGAGCCAAGGAGGCCGCTGAGGGACCTAGCTGACCTTGGGCACAAGGTTCACACTTCTGACCTCCCACCCCCACCTCCTGTGGCTGGGCTGCCCCACACTACTTGAGGTTGGTTTGGGACAGTGGTGATAAGGCCAAAGACCCAACCATCGGAAAAGGCCCAAGAAAGGAGAGCAGAGGGAAGGGGGCCAAGTGCATTCTTTTTATTGGTTTCTGGAAGTTCAGCCCCTAAGGAGGTCTGTGAGGGAAGAGGCTGGTGAGGGAGGGAGTTGCGACTGCCCATCTGGGTTTCTTAATCTGGGAAATAAATGCATTAACTTTGGGGTGCTCCTGGCCCCAGTTTCTTACCGGGCGCCCCAGGGGGGAGGCTGTAGAAGGTTATACCTCCGGCAGCCAGAGCACCCAGGTCCCCACCCCACACACCCCCAACCA